GGTTCTATAAAATTCTCACTGAGAAGTACTTGTCTAAACTGTTCTCAAACTCTGAGGACTTGTTTTCCCTGTGTGAATGTCAACTCAGTCTGAGAAACTCCAGAGAGTCTCAGATCCCAGGCACTGACTCTCACAGCCTTCACAGCTCAGCCGCCCTTCTTGGGCATTTTATGTAAACATTCCTATGGCAATTTTAGTCTCTCTGTGCCCTCGAGAAATAACAGAGGCCTTTGTGGAAGGAGAGAGAGCCCTCCGCAGACCTCAGTTCCAGCACTAAACCCTATCCCAGATTTTCCTGTGCTGTGGATTCGCCCCTTCCAGCTCCATCTTGCATTAACCTCTGCTCATCTCCATACTCTGCCATGGATTCACCTTCACCCTCAGCCATGGGACCCAGAACAGATGCCTGCCCTTGGGCAATGCCTGACAGAGGCCAGCTGACTGAGGGAAAGGTTAGTGGGGTTACTACACAGAAGGATGAGTATTCTGACCCAGTGGACAAGTAGTCTTTGTGCTGTAGCTGTTGGAGAAAGGCTGACTGAGAGAAGCCAGAAAGCAGGGACAGGTGGTGAGTGCCCCAGCCAGGTGGGTCTGCCCAGGTTAGAGTTCTTGTAAAGCACACTTCCATTGTGTGCTATCTGGTGGCTACAGTAAGCTGACCTTTGGAGCAGGAACCAGGCTGGCTGTGCACCCACGTGAGTATGCCTTGCCACTGAGCAGGGCAAAAGGCACTGATGACTTGTCTATGAGAAAACAGGTAATAGTTTATAGCAAACTCAGGGATATGTGAAGTACTAATTGTCCATTTCTACAAGCTCTCACGGTGACCTGAGATGTTCCCATTTCTCATATGAGAGTCAGAAGCAACAAGAGTCAATTGAGTACATGAAAATCTGAGCAGAATAGTTTACAGAAATGTAAAAAAGAGTTTCAGGAACTCAGTCATTTCAAGCAAAGCTGGTAATATCAGCATCAGATACTCTCAACATCCAGGAAATTAGCTAAGCACCCTTGGGAGGGAAAAAATGGTTTAATGGCAAATTCCAATTCTCTTTTTTTCCAGCAGGTAGCTAAATTCTGTGGGTTGGTTAATGGGCCTAGGTCAGGATGCCTGCTCACAGAGTCTTCCTTTCCTGAATTCAGGAGAGTCATGAACTCTCACTCCATTGGGCCCCTTAGGCCCAGGCTCTTACACAGAGGGCAGGTATCACATGAAATGAAAAGGTATGGAGGCAGAACCAAATAGGGATGAGAGATCAGGGATATACCAAGCATATTTAGTACAACCTCCATACTTAACAGCAAAATGACAGTAACCACATCATAATGTAAGATAACATCCTGCATATAACAAGTAATCATGTGGGAGCACTTCTAATATACTGTGATTATTTTCATGGCCTTGTTACACTAAAGTTTACATTACTGCAAAGAGAAAGTAGAACAGCTTCCTTGGGAATCAGGAGATCTAAGAAACCAAGAGCTCGAGAGCATTTTAGGATAGTATTCTGAGGCCCAATGGTTCTAGCAGATTACCATCAGGAAGGTTATCGCAAAGAGTTTACCTGTGGTGGGGGTACGGAAACAGCAAGCTAATCTTTGGAGCAGGGACTAGACTGAGCATCCAGCCAAGTAAGTGGAGTGGGACAAGAGTGGAATGCACAGGTATTTCTCTTTGTGCAAGATACCAATTAGAGCCCAGGTATTTTCTTCTGTGGAATCTTAAGTGGTTCTTTCTATCCATCCCCAGAGAATCCTTCCACCTCACACTAAGTCCTCTGGAGATATTATCTTAAACTGAGACTTTAGAGGCCACCAGGCAGATTGTAAGTTTGTGGTCCTGGACATTCCAATTGAGAATACAACATACTGTTGCCCTGAATAGGGGATATCACTGTACTGAATTCTTGGTTTATGGAAATCTCTTGAACTTTCAAACTCAACTCAAGGTACCAGAGCAGAATAGAGCAAGAGAAAAGAACTGTATATACCAGAAACAAAATCGCAATACAAAATAACAGAAGGTCTAACTCTTAGGAATGTGACAGTCCTACAGGAGATCAGTACATCTCCCATTTAAGTAGCAGGTAGATCCCATGACTTTCTGTAATGGTGTCATCTATGGTGTGAACACTGGAGGAATGGCTGGTAAACTCATATTCGGGGAGGGGACGCAAGTGTCCATAACAGCTGGTGAGTCATCCCAAGTGGCACCATTTACCACCTGTCACACCAGCGTTGTTCATCCCTTCCTTGGGGATATCCATTATTACTATGGGGAGGCCAACTGTAGCTGTTGTGACTAATTGTCTTACAAAGGCCTAGAAAAGGGAAAAGCATCACTATCGATCATGATTATCTATGTTTCTCTGGGTTAAACACATTAAAATTTGACTTTAATCATGCAATGGATTTTTTAATGACTTCTAAGTGGCTATTGTTCCATAAAATGTCAGAGTGTGAAGAAGCCTAGGACAGATGCCTGACCTATCCCCAAATAGTATAAAGACTAGCCAAGGATATAGAAGTGCTGTATACTTAGCAACCTGAAAAATGTTTTAGTATTAACAGTGGACGATGTCAATAGACACAATAGAGATTCAGATGGCTAAGGGTCCTGGCTGAAAAGTTGCCCTTGACCAGTGATAGAGTATCTAGGCATGTATACTTAGTGGGCATGCAGAGCCCTCTCTGTTGGTACACAATTGCCCCAGCATCACCCCAGCAACCGAGCATTCAGGTTTAATAGTAGTGTTGGCACTTTGGTTGTAGTTTGTGCTGTCGATCTCTAAAAGGTTCCCCATCACTTGGCAATGCAGAGATACTCTGTGGTAGGAAGGTTTCGTTAAGCCCTAAAGGGTTGGTAAGATCTGTATGTGCAGAGAGAAGAGTGGAATTCTAGGGATAAAGAATAACGAGAAAGTAGGCATGGTACTAGGAATGAACAAGGCACGTGCCTTTTGGCCTAAGTGAACACGTCTGATAATAAAGTTTGGATGATGAGAGAGCAAGACAAAGAAGGTGTCTTTCTAGAAATGCAAATAAGAAATATCAGAGCCTTCAAGAGAATTCATAAATTAGGATCTGAGTCAGCCACCAGGAAATTGAGAATCCAATGTTAGAGATACAGACCAGTTGGGAAGTGAGAGAGGTCAGCCTTTTCTAGGGATGATTCCTTCCAAGGTGGGTTCTCAGAGGGGTGGCTCCCCATTCAGAGGAAGAGAAACAGGCTTTCGGTAAGGAAACTTCGAGAGAGGTATCAGGATGTGGACTCCTGACGCAACTTAAAAAAGATATCAGCATTTCCAGTATTTCAGAGAAATTCCCCCATGCTCTTTCCTGCTGCCCTCCAGAGCCTCTGTGAGAACCAGATCTGTATCTCGAACTCTTTTCTGGGTTCCTGGTGCCTAACTACAGAGCACAGATTTAGTGGTAAGGAGCTTTCAATCACTGCTGTGCCTCACGGGATTTAAAACACTGGAGCGCTCAGACATGTGCTTCTGTAGTTAGTCATGAATTACGATGACAGGTTGGGATCCTGAACTTCCACACTGAAGAATTGATCCAGTCTCGCTAAGGCTACCTTCTGATATTATCAGGAGTGGAATGTATTTTTCTCACCAGGATTGAACAGGATGTCTCTCCTCCCCACAATGTTCTGGCAAATGGACCCCTAAAGACCTCTAAATTAAAAATGGCTCATTCCTAAGATGCTGAAAATATCAAGTAGCTCCAGCGCCACCTCATTTGTTTGAAAAAGGGACATCCAAGCTCTGTGTGCCTGAACATGAGCTCACCCCAGCTCTGCGGCTCCAGGGAAGCCCCACACCCAGGAGCTCTGCCTTGACACAGCACCCCAGGACCACACCAAGAGCTCATCTCTTTGGGTTTGGAAGCAACTGGAGGTCTGCATTGCCAAGGCCACCCTGGCTGGCTCAGCAAGCGGGTGCATCACAGGGATCTGAGAAAGTTTGTGTAACAGTGGGAGAACCACAGAGGCAGGAAATTCTAATCGCAGCCTTGCCAGCAACTCACTGGGTGGCCCCAACATGTTAATACTCCTGGCAATCCTCTGCTTCCTCCTGTAAAGGGGGAGGTCAGAAAGAATAAACAATAAGAGTCACATTAAAAACACAAAATCCTGTGGAAACACTCCCGAAAGAATTAGTCTCAGCACTACGGAAAAGCCTCCAGCAACTCCTGCTTCAGGGATAAAGCTTAGATACGGGCTCGGTGTCACTTCGCAGCACATTACCATGGTGATGCCCTGGCATATCGGTAGCTCCCGCTACCACCATGTGCTCAGTGCTGTACAGTTCATCAGGTCTAAGTTTACATGGAGAAACACTCATTTGTTTCTCAGAATAGCCAAAGTAGATGAGGCAACATCTCCACTTTACAGATGAAATTATTGAGAAGTAAAGGGCTGGTTTGACTTACTGAAGACCTTACATCCAATAAAAAGCAGAGTCGGGTCTTGGACACTGGTGTTCCAGTCTGTAGTCTAAAATTACTACCGATGAGAAATAAATATCTTTGTGTTATGAAAGATTTTTTAACTTAAAGCTAACATATCATAAACCTCCATTTCCTGCCACTGTGCAAAATAAATGGGGGCGATCGATCTATGGTTTGCTTTGGGGAATCTTTTTTGTTTCTTATGCTTGCCTTTGTCTCACCAGAGTACTATTACTAACTAGACTTGCTGAGGTTTGGGGAAAGTTCCTGTTAAGCAGAGGAATGAATAGTGACATTAAGTAGCCTGCTTTTCTGACTTCCTAGACCGATAGGCAGAGCCTGGCAGAGAGCATCCCTGAGAGCCTGAGTTCTTGGCCAGGACTCCTGGCTTGTTCCTGTTCCTAAGGCCCAGGGTATCAAGAGCCCCTAGTTTCTAAAATGAATGAGCCCAGTTTTGCCCATCACTAGTATCTTCCCTCCAGCCTGGGGTGGAGCAAACAAGGAAGCAGACCATGTCCTAACCTGGTCCTCTCTTTCTACAGTCATTGAAAACCCGGAACCTGCCGTGTACCAGCTGAGAGACCCGAAATCCAGAAATACCTCCGTCTGTCTGTTCACCGATTTTGATTCTAACGTCAATCTGTCAGAATCTGTGCTGCCTGGCGTGCCTCATACTCAGCCAACTGTGCTGAACATGAAGTCCCTGGATTCCAAGAGCAATGCTGCTGTGGCCTGGAGCAGTAAATCTAATTTTGATTGTAGAAACACCTTTGGAGATCCTACGTTTTACCCCAGCTCAGGTAGGTACTACTTATGCAAGCAGGGGAACACATCCTAGTTTTTAGTCTTTTGAAAGATCAGGCTGATTGCTATGTGGAGGACAGGTGGTAGGCCAGGAGTGAAGAAGAGAGGAAACTACAGTAGAGATGGAAGCCTGCACCAGGTGATAGCATAGAGACATCATTTGGGTTTTAAAGATAGCACAACCCAGAAATTAAAAGGAAAACAGAAGATCAAGGAAAGCTGCCTGGGTTCTCTTGCCCAAGTAGCTGAGTCAGTGATAGCACCACATACCGACACAGAGAAAACAAAGGAACAGATTTGGGGTAGGGGGATCAAGACTTTTGTAACACTTGAAAGTATCTGCCCCAGGCTGGGGATTTAGCTCAGTGGCCTAAGCGCCTGCCTGGCAAGCGTAAGGTTGTGATTTCAATCCCTGGTACCAAAAAAAAAAAAAAAAAGAAAGAGAGAAAGAACCTGTCTCTCGATGACCCTTGTCCTGTGTATACTCCTCCCTGCCTCTATTGGGTCCCTACTGGACAGCATGGGACATGCCCAAGGGCAGGGTCTGTTGATAGTTCTTTGGGACCCACACTGCGTAACTTGTACTGGGCACAGTCAGTTTTGTGGAGTGAGTTAAATGGCACCAAGACACTGGGGCGTTGGTCCTGCCAGGCCATGTCTTCTTCTAGCAGGTGCCCCATCAGAAGTTCCCGCCAGACTGCTCCAAGGGAACCAAGGAAAGGCTTTAGATATTATATTTATCTGCTCAACAACCAGGAGATCTGGGGTGGGGGAGTCAGCATGCTCTGGACTCTGAGAAAATGTCTTTGTTTCTCCTTTTAGACTACCCCTGCAATGCCACATTGGTAGAAGAAAGCTTTGAAACAGGTAAGCGGGGCCTAGCCCAGCTTTGCACATCACTGGGGAGGTGACAGACCCACAGTATCAACTGGATGGAGGAGGGATCCAGGGCAGTTCTTCTAGTAATCAAGTCATAAGGAATGGGAACATCAGTTCAAGGCCCGCCCCAGGCTGCAAGACATCTTGAATCCATCCCAGCGTATCTAATTTTCTTTTCCATTTGAGAATGAGTCCAGTTTTAAGGAGACCATGCCTCGCTCCTTGGTTTGTTTTCCTTTCAGTAGCTCCTTAGTTAGGAGAGCCAAAGAAAGCTGCTGGGTGTCCAGCTGTGACATTTTGGATGCCCTGCCTTTTTGTACAGCTGTGAACCAACCAGGCCTCTCTCAGAACACTTTCCCTCTATAAACACAGGGTTTGCTCTCTGTCAGGAAAATCACATGGCCAGAAGAAGAGGTCCTGTAAAGTTCCCAGCACTCCTGGCCTCCTGGCCGCCTGCCCTCGTTGCCACGTGAATTGTTCTTACTGAATCCTTCTTCCTTACGCTTTAGACCCAAGGGATTGCTGTGATCTGCATCCCCAGAGGGACTTGGAAATAAAGCAAAGACCAAGTCCAGTTGGTATTTTTGTTTTAAAACACAACACACACACAGTGTTTGCAGGGGGATATGCACAGAAACTCAAAGGAAAAGGCAGATCCAGGAAGGAATGATCGCCCACATGGCCTGCCCGGGGAAAGCCACCAGTGTCACGAGGAGCTTGCAGCTCTGTGACAGCAGTGGCCTCTTTGTTTTACAGATATGAACTTAAACCTTGAAAACCTGTCAGTGATGGCCCTCCGAATCCTCCTGCTGAAAGTGGCTGGATTTAACCTGCTCATGACGCTGCGGCTGTGGTCCAGCTGAGGTGAGGGCCACCGGAGCTGGGGGGGGGGTGTCTCTAAGCTCAGGGAACAAACCTCCCCGCCAGATTTGCTTTTAAATCCTAAATCTACACCCAGCAAACTGTTCCACCTCCTACAAGTTCCTGTTGCTAATACCAATGGCCTAAAACATGTGTATGACCACAGACACTCATCTCAGCCTCTGGGGTGTGCAGAGCAGCCATTACTCCGGTATTAGAAATGAACAAACCGAGGCCAAGTAATGCCAGGAACACTATGTGAATGAGTGGAGGCCAGAAGACACTGATGCAGTCACACCACACACTTCTGTCGAGCCCCTTAAGACCCCCAGTGCTGTTCCTGGTGTCTTCTCGCTCCGGCATGGCACTCTCAGCTCCATGTGAGGAGACCTTATACCCTTAACCCTAACCTGGCTAGAGCTCCCTGCCGCCTACCCACAGTGTCCTCAGTCATCTTGATGACAATGCAGCCTGGCCACTATCATCCGAAAGGATTCCAAGGCCCGCTTGCTCCGGGGACACAGCCTGTACAGAGCCTCCTCCACCACGTCCCTGCCCCTCCCGGTCAGTCCTCCTCCACACCCAGCCTGACTTCTGCTCTTCCTCCACCCAGGTCGGAGCCACACCAGGCTGTGTTCTGCTGCTCCTTCCTCCCCTTCTTCAAGCAGCAGGGAGTGCTCCCAGCCCGCGGAGAAGGTTCCCAGCATCGCTCTGGCCACCAAGTCCACGCTGAGTTTGAGACGAAGACTGCCGAAGAGCTGGCAAACACTGCTGCCTCCGCTCACCCCTTCCCTAACTCCTGCTTGTCACCATTCATAGCAAAGGTGCCACAGCCTCTCACGGCTGTGAAGAAAGCCCTCCCACTCCACAGAAACCACCTGTGCTGTCCATGGGTGACCAGTCCCCAGCGGGGCCTCTAGCTCCTAGAAAATGTTGTGACAAGTTTTTACTTTTTAAATAGTATTCATAAAGAAATACAGATTATTCTTTTTTGCAAGTTGTAGAACGCAATTACCTCATCCCAGTGGTGCAAACCTCTAGCATGTGTGCCTCAATGGGCTGTCTGTTATCACTGAAAGCTCTAAAAGGCTCACCGTCGCTTGCGAGGCCCTCCCTGCTATGCTGAAATACAATGTATATTATTCTACAGCCCTGGCTTCATTAAAAGTGATCAAAAGAGCAGAGACTGTGTTCCTGTGTGACTGGTTTTGATTGGGGCCATTTTCTGCATGTTGTCGGGCACTGGCTGGGCAGAGAGAAGCCCAGGCATCTGTCCATCCTGCTGTACAGGCAGCCTAACTCAACAAGCTGCTGCTTTCAAGCTCTTCTTGGAAGAATTTCTAAAAAGTTCCACTACCGAGCTGTGCTGGGGATCAGGAAAAGCCTCTTCAGTTTTCATGCCACACCACTGCATCACCGTAACAGGAAGACCACACACAGGGGTGGTAGTGACCTGTACTTAAAATCTGCCAGATAGGGACCACACAGAAAGGGCCCTTGAAATGCCATCCACTGTCTCCTGTCCTCGGGAACATTTCTTTGCCTTTTCTCTCACACTGGACTTGCACTGACAATTGCACACTGACTGTGTGTTACCCACAAACCCATTTTGCTGCCCAGGTCCCAGGCCCAGGCCTCACCATTGGAGTAGCCCAGTCCAGGAGCAGGGCTGGGAGAAGATCACGCCCACAGTGAGACTCTATCTGCCCAGCACCCCGGATGTGAGAGTAAGGTTGGGAGGGTCAGCTCTCCCCTAAGCTAAGGACGTGGCCAAGGAGAGTACACCTCGGAAGCTCTGCCCTTAGGGAAAGAAGGGCAATTCCGGGAACCCCACAGATACTCTCCTCTCCTCTGAGCCTCCTGCTACCAGAGCACCTTTCCCTAGGGACAGGCACACAGATGGAAACATTTCATTAAGGCCATTCGGCCATCCTAACAACTGCCCGGTTAAGACCAAAGCTGAGTGCTGAGTGCTTACTAATTTCTAGACTGGAAAGGGGTTCCTCCCCCAAATACCTCTGGGTTCCCCGAGGTCACTGATCACAAGCCAGCAAAATGCAGATCCCTTCAGCTGGCGCTTCTCCTAGTGATGGTGCTCCCAGCTTTATCAGGTGTCCTGGGGCATGTCCCTGCCCCTGTGGCTTCAGGGTCACCACCTATAAAATGTCAGCTAGGACTGGAGGCCACCCATGGCCTCTGAGTCTGTGAGAACCAGCACCTCATCTCCTGGTCTGCCCTCCCAACATGTGGACAGAATCCCTGGCTCTTTCTAAGCTGTCTCATCTCCAGCCTAAATAGAATCCCTTGGAGATTCCTATGGAGAAAGGCCTGCCAGGTCCTCTCACAGCGCAGGACAGGCCCTGTCTTCCCCAGGTGGGAAGACAGGCAGCTCCTCACTGCCTGCAGGGAGCTCCAGGAGGCCGCTTCCTTAACAAGCGCCTCCTCCTCTACCTCATGAAGCCAGATTCTAGCACTGGGAATCTTTTAATTAAAGCATTCTCTTCCCCATATTAAATGAAAATGCCCCTGGGAGGGTTAGTAGAGCAAGCCTTTATCAACTGTTAAAAACTTAGGGCAAATTAGTTTCTTTTTTTTTTTTTTTCCTCCTCTAAAGTGGTAATTCACTTTCCTCTGCAAAAGGAAAGCCAGGCAAGGAAAACGTGGGTGCTTCAGAAGCAGGTCTGCCCTGAGAGCTGGCTGTGGCCGTGCTAAGGCTGACGGGGACACAGAGGACAGAGCATGAAGGCAGCGAAGAGACCAAAGACAGGTCCCTCCATGGACCCGAAGGGAAGCCCAGACCAAAAGGAGCCTGAGGGAACCTGCGGAGTCAGGCCCGCCCCGTTCCCCCAGGCGACAGGGCCAGTGGTCACTGGTCCCCTAAGGTCACCTAAAGCCCCACATGAGGAGATACAACACAAGCTGGGAATCCACTCACGTCAGTGCAAAAATAAGGCTTCCTCTCTCAGGCCCAGCCCAAGCAACACAGAGTGACAAGCCTGGCAAGGGAGAGGCCATCGGGAGAGCAGGGTCAGCTCCACACTCTGTGAGAAATTTACACCTAAAACCAGGGTTCCTCCAGCCAGCGAGAACCTTCCCTCATGTCTGAAGCTGTTAAGCCTAAAGCCAGTAAGGCTAAGGCTAAGGCGATCAGGGGTGATGAATGTGTGGTGAGTGTGGTGGCCCAGGCCAGTACTTTACATGCCTCTGACCACTCACACCGAGGTCTCAGAGGGAATTAAAGTGGCCTGTGGAGAAACCAGGAGAAGGGTCCCTGTGCCAGCTGGGAAGATCAGTTCTGGACCTTGCACCATGTAAGCTACTCACTGGAGGAACTGGGCATTGTTCAGCCTGGAGGAAAGAGGCAGTTGAGGAAGGTGGCGGTCCAGTCCTGAGGAGCCCCAGTCCCGTAAGACAGGGCCAGGACTCCGGCAGCCTGATCGCCCCGGAACCCTGGCTCAGAGAGGAAGGACTGACATCTAAGAGCAAACATGTTCCCAGAGCTAGCTGCGGAGTGGGTTTCTCTGGACAGATGTTCTACTGCCCCTAAAGCCTAGCAAGCAGAAAAATGAACCCAGTGACCCCTTGTGACCCAGGCCTAAAAGTTGGCAGAGTTGTTTGAAGTTTCCCTCCGAGGCCTGGCCTCAGAAAGCACAGGGAGCCACAGTCCGTGTGTTTTAGGAGAATTGGTGGGGTTTCCCAGCCCAACAGAGCAGTCCCCTGCCACTGCCCACACTGGAGGGGCAGTCATCTGCATCCGAAAAGATAGTTACCAGTTTGCTTCACCCATAAAGCCAACTGGTTATCAAGTAACATCTCAGCAAGGAAGTGGATTCAAATGCGTGCTCCTGGGATAGAAAGCGTGCCCCACTCATCCCGAGGTCCCCAGCCAGCACCATGCCTGGTACACAGCACACACCAGCAAGTGAAGCATGAACGGCTGACACCATTAGGCACTAAAGAGGGACCTGAGCATGAGGGGCGGGAAACAGGAGAAAGGAAAGTGGAGATTAACAGAACAAGAGGCCGGGTGAGCTGCTGTTTCCAAGCTGGCTGGTAGCCCCTTGGCCAGGGGAGCCCCAGGCAGGCACTCATCCATCAATAAAGCCTGGAGGACAGCTACTCTGGGAGACACACTGGCCTCCAGGACTCTGAGCTCCAGTCACAGGGGACCACCCGAGGTCTGCTGAACACCTCTCTTCACGTTCTGCCTGTGACCCATCCTAAGCCCCATCTCCAGTCTACTTTCTCCAACAAAGGGCGGGCAGAAGGGCTCTGCCTGAGATGGGTGATGTGGGGCCGCAGGCCGGGCATCCTCATTCTCACTAAGGACACACTCATTGCTGGGGGCTGTAGGCCTCCAAGAGGCCCCACAGGAAACAGGGTGGCTTCAGGCTTCCTTTCACACACTCATGCACAGGGTTCCTCTGAGTATCACACACGGAGCTGCGTTTTGAAATTAATAAATAGGTCAGACATTGAGTCAGTAGCCAGAAGTAGAACAGGAAGTGGAAAAAGTCTCCACTTCCCTCCAGGTGTTGGGGTTGGGCGGCCCCCTCCCATTTCCATGACATCATGGTTGTTAACAGGGGCAAATAGGCCACCCTTTGAAGCTTTCCCGCAAAAGCCACATCCTCTGGAAAGAGAAGTTAAAAATACAGAGTTAGAGATAGCATCGCCCCAAGCCACGTGCCAAGAGGAGGCAGGCCAAGCCGTTACACCACCGTGCAGCCACAGGTGCAAGAAAGGGGCCACAAAGCCACTCCGGGAGGGGCAGGCGGGCTCCCCTGCTGACTTGCACCCACGCAGAACAGCAGGCCAAGGAGGCTCCACTGCTGAGAAACCTCCCTCAGCCCACTTCTGTTGCCCTAAGATCAGACTTTCTTAGACTCTAAGTACAGGATGGATATGCAAATCTTGGGTCCAGCCCACACCCCATGGGAAGGGCGCATGGGAGTGATCTCGGCCCACACATGGCCGGCCCGGCTCTCCAAAGGCCATCCACACCAGCAGCCACACACTCCCGGCTTCACTCCAGGAGGAGGATGAAGGGCAGGGTGGTACCCCAAATGCACATCTGCCTCTCGGGGCAGACCAGGATTCTGAAGACCACAGAACCTGAGACCTGAACGAGTGGCAGGCTCGGTGATCATGCTCTATGGCAGGGTCCTAATTTACCCACCAGGGGGCAGCAGAGCTCCACCAAAGGAAGGCTGCCTCTGCTTCCCATTCTGGGAAGGGAAAGCACCTGAAGTTTAGGAAAATACATTGTATTTCAAAGGAAAATGCAATGGCGGATGACTTTCATTTCACAAGGCCCTGCCCTGTGCCAGTGCAGCACTGGGTTCCGATTCTGTGTGATCGTGAGACCCCATAGAGCAGAGCAGGCCTAGGGTCAGGGCTGCAGGCAGCAGGGGGCACTGCCTACCCAGAGTCAGGAGACTCCACTCACTGAAGGGAGCCCAGAGAGGAGCAGAGCCTTGGGCCAGCCAGAGCTTCGGGTCAGCATAGAGGAGCCATATGCCAGACACCGTGCCAGGCTCCGGGAACTTGGTCCCTGTACAAACACTGTGACTGCACGGAGATGAGGCTCGAGAACAGACACAGGAATCACTGATGACAGACATCAGAATACCAGCTGCCCCTAAGGTGAAGGAATTACTGGGACCAGGCACAAGGGGCCTTCAGGAGCGCTGTATTTGGTCTGAGTATACACACAGCTACTGCCTCAAGCCATAACCTCACTTCAGTACGTGTTAGTGTGTATAAATTATATCCATAAAGTCCATTCTCATTAGAAATCCACACACGCAGTCCAACTAAGTACACAAGCATAAAAGAGAGGGGGCAATGCCTTTAATTTCATGGTGTCTGTTAATATATATTCCGGGGGTGATTCCCCCCAGCCAGGAGTTAGGGGAACCGGTCACTTATCTATAAGTGTCACGATCCCTCACCACCCTTCTCTCCTAGGGCTTTTGACTTTACTGTGGCTCAATTTTTCATTACACAGATGGGAGGTAAACATACCTGACCACCCACTTCTCAGTTTGCGAAGAGTTTGAAAGCATGATGTGAAAAGACTTAGTGAACTGAAATCCCAGTGCAAATACGAAGCAGTGGCACATCAAGACCCGAAGAAAGGGGAACCACGGCCCCGCATGTGGTCACTGCCACCACGCTCC